GCGGGGGGCGGCCACGAGGCGGCCACGTGGGCGCGGGCCTCGCCTTCGCCCTGCCTGCGGGCGGCGCCTGCCCTCCTGGGGTCAGCCTTGGTGGGTGCAAGGGTCGCAGGCCCTCAGGGGGAAGGGTGCTGGGCGAGGCTGCGGGGCCTGGGGTGCGCGATCGACACTTCCCAGGCGGCGGGTGCGGGGACGGGGGGGGGGTGTCGGGGGGCCTGGGGAGCCAGGGCCAGGCCACCGGGCTCAGCTGGCGCGGATGGAGCCCCGGGAGGAGGGCAGCTGAGGAAGGTGTGAATGACGAGGCCAAACGAGGGAAACCGAAGCACCTGCGAGGAGTTGACGCCTCCTAGCTGGAGGAATCATGGGGGAAGGTAGTTTTGAAACCAGCGAGCCAGCGTCGCTGCTTTCCTTCCTTCCCCGGGAAGAGAGGGGCTGTGAGTAGGAAAGAAGGTAATGGTTTTCCTCTGCGGACTGTGGTGAGCGGCAAATGAGGTAACGACTGTGCAAGGGCAAAGAGCTGTACGAATACAAGACAGTGTTAGTTAATTAGACTCCTTAAGCCTCTTTGTCTGTTGCAGCGGCTCCGGAGACTCTCGGGTGTGGATAGTGGGTCGGGCTGACCAAGATGCATGAGGGCTAGGTGTGAGATTGAGGCACAGGTGGAGTAACGCAGAGGATGAATAAAGACAGGGTGTTTTTTTGTTATTGTTTGTTTGTTTCTGGTGGGGGGGCAGTAATACTGCAGTGTGAAGGAATGTGGACAACATCTGTCCTTTGGGTTCATCTCATCTGGCTGAGAGATTATTTCATTCCTTTGCTGCTGCTTCTAACACTACCTTTGGATTTCCCCCCCACCTTTTTTTATGCAAAGAATTCTACCCCTAAATGAGACTGAAGAGGGAGGAAACATTAGTCATGTGAAACACATATTGACCAAATTTGGTCAAGAGAGAAGTTGATGGGCTTTTTATTGATAACTACATTTTTCTTGGCCTTGGAATGAGATAGGCTGATGTGCAGACAAGAGTCCTGAACTGAGGGCTACCTCTGAGAAAGAGAGATTTGTTCTCTGAATAGAGGGGTCACCTGGGCCAAGTTCCAATACTTCTCTGAGCCTTAGGTTTTATGCAGTGGGGGAAACCTGAAAGGTCATTCATTCTGTTATACACTAAGACCTTATAGCAGCAGCTACGAGGCCAGCCAGTCCTTAGTGACAGGGAACTTGTCACGTCCTAAAATGGCCAGCCCCACTAGACGGCTCTGATCATTGGAAAATTCTTTATGTTGAATCGACATCTGTTTCTCTGCAGTTTGCATTCACTGCAGCCACACAGAATGAAATGTCTAATGCTGCTTCCACAAATATTTGAGGATTGCTAATATATTTCCTTCTTCCACTCACTCCACAAGGCTCCTTTTCTTCAAACTCAAACATGCCCAGTTATTTCAAACAGGGCATCAGTGTAGGGCAGTGGAAAGCACGCCAGCTCTGGAGCCAGACACATCTGTATTCAGCCCCTTCACATACTACTAACAACTGCACTCTGAGCTGTAGTACCTTCCTCTGAGATGTGTGAATGGAAATTCGCATCCAGCACTGTTCCCTTGAAGATCAGGGATCAATTGGGTGACTGTCATGCTCATGGTAGGAGCTTAAAGTATGAGAGCTGCTATCTTGAGTGACATGGTTGACAGTCCATTGTAGTTGCTCTCTGCACACACTGCACTTTGTTCCTGTGACTCTTAAAATCCCTGTAGAAGAGATTATTCTGGATACTTCTCCATAGTCTCTCGTCAGAGTAGTTAATTGGATCTATATCACCCTTAATGAACCTTTTTGTTAATTAAAACCCTAGGTGTGGTTTTTTTTTCTTTAAATCATAGTGCTGTTGTTCAACCAACTTCTCCCATTCTGAACTTTCTTTTTAAAGTTTATTCAAATCCGTAATTAATGGCTCCTGAAAATGGTAGTCATAGTTCTATCCTATTGTCTTCATAACGATCCTTTCATTGGTCACAGGGGTGTCAAATTGTGATTAGAAAAATATGATTATTGAATGCATGGTATCAGCTAAACTGTCGTCTACCACTGTTACGCATCAGTGAGAATGTGAATGCACTTTCTATGCTAATTTTTTTAATAACAAATCTGAGTTCTAATTATGATGTGGACTCTGTCAGAATTGGAATGTGACAGGAATGTGTGATAAGCCTCACTGTTATATATGATGCCAACCAAGGATGCTATCTGTTTAGGAGAAGTGAAAGGCTGTCCAGAAGCAAGCCAGAGGCATAAATGCAAACCTTGATATACATTATGTACATATATGCTTTCCCTGCATACTCAAAGGGTTTTCTATCTTAGACTAGATTCTACCCTCGTGGAGGAAGTTCCCCGCGGGAAATACGCTAAGCATGGTTAGAAGATTCCTTAACTCTTTTGCTCCTGGGGCTTTATGGCCAGCATTTTCTCCCTGGACAGAAAATTCCAGCTTTAGCTAACCAGATCTCATAGAATTCTCTTAAGTTTTTCCACAGTCCTTGTTATTGTGCCAGAGGTTCTTTTGAACAGGAATGTCTTCTCTACCTAACCAAATTCGGGGTTTCTAACCCGTTTAACCTCCTGCTCTCCTTCTTCTAAGCACTCCAAGTAGGAAGATTTCTCCAAAACACCAAACTTGGGATTTCTTTTGTTTCCAGGAGCTTTCCTGCCTGACCTCTTCCTTCAGAGGCATAACCTCCTTTCTCCCCCCACCCCCACCTTGTTCCTTATGGGTAGACATGTTCCAAGGCCTTCAAAAAAAGATCCTTTGTGGGGTACTTAGTCCATTAATTAGAAAATCGTTTTCATCCCCGACACTGCGTGCTTCTGTCCTGGTGAGAATGAAAGTGTGGAACTGTTGGTTGGATTCAGACAAGGGATAAGAAAACTGGACATTGTAAAGGCTCTTGTCATTGTCAGTTAAAATTGGAACTCTTTTGCTCCGTTGAAAGGATTGGTCTACATTTTCTAGGCAATTTTTGTCATTAAAATGTGGTGATGATTAGATACTATAGATTAGCCTCTCCTTGTAAAGAGACTTCCATTTACATTTTGTCAAGTAATCAATTACGACTTTATATAAATGATTTAAATACATTGGTGGCTTCTCATTTTCCTTCGGAAGAATTCCAGCCTCCTTACACCCAGCTACCTCTTCTAAGGCTCTGTCTCTCTTTCACCCTCCCCGCGGCCCCCTCCGTGGCCTCCCCCAGCCCAAAGGAAGTCGGTTTCCGCCAAGGTTGTACGGTCCCGAGCCTCCCGTGCTTGGCGAACGCCGTCCCTTCTGGCTGGAATGTTCTTTGTCTCTCTGCTAAATGTCTATTCATCACTCTAGACAACCCTTCCTCCCTCCCCGTAATTACTTCCTCCCCGGTGCGCCCTCAAATTCTTGTACTTATTCATACGGCATTTGTTAGGGGTCTCCTTTGTGGCCGGCACCACGGCGGACTCCCGGGATACAAAAGCTGAAGAATACTTGGACTCGGCCTTTGAGGGCTTAGGGAAGAGGGAGCCGACACACACAGTGTTGCTAGGATATCAAAAGGAAATTTAAAGAAAGCATCAGCTCTTGTCTGTCCCCACCCCCCACCCGGCCTAGATGGCCAGCATCTTTCTCCAGGGCAGGAGCCTCACGGCACGTACGTTTCCTAGCCTGGGGCCAAACAAGCGCGCTCTCTGTTCCTCCTACTCGGAGCCCGGTAGTTGAGAATCCTGCACTGCGCCACCCTTCCTGTGAGGCTCCTCGGGGTGGGTGGCCTTGAACTCCCGGTGTTCGCTTCGATGTCCACAAACCCCCTTGGCACAGTGCTCTGTCTTTGGGCGAACTTGCCTGTGCTCGCGCTCGCTCGCGCTGCGGGGCCCTGGAGGGCGAGCGTGCGGGCCGCGGAACGGAAGGCTGCAGCGCCCCCGCTGGCCGGGCCGCGCCACGCAGACCAGCGCCTCCCTGGCGCGGACACTACAATTCCCGGGGACGGCCCGAAGGCGCGCGCACTCCGGGATGCGCTGCACTTTTCAGAGTCCTAATCGAGGCTTTTTAAAGAACGGTGGATTAAAAAAGAGAGAGAAAGGTCCTCCCACCCTCCCTTACTAGCACCTCTGGGAGCCCTGGCATTTCGATGTGTTGTTCACAGTAAAGGGTGAGGGGTAGGTCTTGCCTTCCCGATCGCGGGGCTCGTCCGGTGCGGCGCGGGTCCCGCGTGCTGCAGTGGCCTCCGGCATGCCAGCCACGTCGCGCTGCCGCAGAGAATACATGTCTGGGTGGCCTGGGCCACCGGGCGAGCGAAACAAGACTTTCAGCAACTTTGGCCTGTTCATAACGGCCATCTCACCGGACCTGCGGAGGGTCCTGTGGAGCTTGTCATTCTGTGGCTCCTTGGGGTGCCCCCGCTCCGTGGACACTCCTGGCTAGGGGCCGGGGAAGTGAGGCGCCCGAGGCCTGCTCTTCTGCACTTGAGCACTCGCAGGGCTCAGCATGCACGCTTTGGGCGGCGCGGGAATGGGTGTCACGGCGAGCTCCCCAGCCCCAGTGTCCCGTGGTCAAGCAGCAGGTACCCTCCGAGGGACCTCTGGGTGGGCTTAAGGGGAATAGGGTGGTCTTTGGTTTGTCATTTTGCTCGAGGCGTTCACACGCCAGGGAAGGGTTTCTTCAGCAAAACCAGGAAGTCAGGGGTGGGGGGTGGTATGCGAAGGACAAGCTGGGTGCTGGGGGGGGGGAGCCCTCCCCTGAAGGTGCCCGCGAGAGGGGCGTCGGAGCTCTGCAGTGGCGGCGGGGCTGCAGGGAGGGGCTCTGCGGCGGGAGCGGGCAGGAGGGGCTCTGCGGCACGGTGGGCGGGCCCGGGGCGGGGCTCCGGTGGGCTGTAAAAGTCGGTGCCCACCCGCTTGGCGCTGCCGCGGCCACCAGCACATCCCGGCGCACACGGGCCACGGCCGCTGCCCAGACGCCTCCCCTGCGGCAGCCGCGCCTCGCCAGTGGGCGCAGTGCCGCAGCGCTCGCCCGGGTGGCCGCTCGCTGCCGCGGGCCGCACCTCTGCTGTGACCAAACGCTGCACGGTTGCGGGCGCCGCGGCGGCGCGCCCAGAGCTCCGCCACCCTGCGGCGCGTGGCATGGGATAACGCGGCCATGGTGCGCCGAGATCGACTCCGCAGGTGGGTGCCTCGGGCCGCGCCGTGCCAGCGAGAGGGGGTGTGGCTGGCCGTAGGGACTCGGCGCGCCGCGGTCAGGGCGGCCTTCGCGGCAAAACATCTCCCGGCCGGCCAGATCGCTTCTCTGGGGAGAGGGTGGCCTGTCCGCGGCACGGTGCGCTCCTCGCTGAATCGCTGGATTTTATCCCCCCCCCCCCATCGCTCTGGTGAGATTGAACGTGTCTGGATCCCGTGGTCATCCAGGGGCCAAGTAGGGTTTCAGACCCGGTCATCTCTGCGGCGTAACTTAGGATATTTAGGACCTTGAAGTGGTCGCTGCCGCGGTGCAATTTAGGATCTTTAGATGCCCAAGACGCGATTTTGGCTCCTTGGCCGCGGCCATCCGCTGTGGATTTCTAAGCCCTCGCCGTGGCCGCGGTGCCGTGTAGGATTTTTAGACCCGGAACGCCAAGGCGTGATTTCGGATTCTTAGAGCTGATGGTCGCGATGGCGTGATTTAGGTTTGCGGCTCCCTTGTCGCCCCGGTGTGGTTTAGGGTTTTAGGATTGCGATCCTGCAGTGGAGTGATCTAAGATTTCCCGATTCGGACTCCACTGCGGAGCGTGTGCCTGCCGCGATGTGACCGGGGCTTGCCGCGGGGTGAGCGCCGTGCCGTGCCGTGTGGCGGTCCCCGGCCGGATGGAGAGGAGGTGACCGACAGGCTGGGCATCTGGAAACGTTCGCTCTGGCTTTGCGGGTTCACTGCTCATTTCATCCTCTCACCGCGGTGCTATTGGGTTTGGCAGTGTTAGGCAAATGAAAGGCTGGTCGATTTCCCGAAAGTTGGTTCGTGGAGCTTGTGGAATTCATACTCTACCATCTTGACTCCATCGGGTAATGTGAATGTGACTTAAAAATTAGATAGGTAGATAGATAGATAAGATAGATCGATCTTCGTTTAATCCAGTCTACCTACGGACTGCCTGATCGCTTCCCTACTAACAACCCTCAAGTGTGGTGGGCGTTTTCATTACCGAGGTGGCAGAGCGACCGACGCCCCGGGGGTTTGCCTCTGCTTTGTCAGGGCGAAAGGGAGGACGCAGTGCTGGCATCGTGAGATGGGGTGTCCAGCGCCGGGTCTTTACCCCTTCCCCTCCCTCCCCAGCCCCCGTGGGGATTCCACCCGCCCCTTCCCTCCCCGGTGGGGAGCCCCCCGCCCCGGATTGCCTGCCCTCGCCGCGCCCCTCCCTGGTGCTCCGCTGAGTCACGGCTCCTTCCGCTGCTGGGACGGTAAATGGACACCCCGGGGGCGACGAGAAAAATGTGTGAGTCGAGGTAGGGGACAGACAGACAGACGCGCGGAGCAAACGACAACCTAACACCCTTTGTCCTTTGCCACCAGAAGAGAGGTGTGGGGTGTGCGCGCAGCCCACGCGGGTGCAGACAGACGCAGGCACCCCGCGTTCCCACGTCCGGTCTCGCATTGTCCGGCACAGTAGACCCAACCATCGTGATGCTTTCATGTTCTTTGAGGTGAAAAAAGAAAAGTCCCTGTTCTCGTGGTGCTGAGCACAGAGCAGTGGAGACTCCGAAGAGGCACAATTTTATCGCTGTGGAACACGGTGTCTTTACCGTCCAAAGAAAGCGGTTCCCCTTTGTGTTGGTTGGTTCTGAGTAGGGCTGTGGCCAGACTCCTGGTAGGTATGGTGGCGGGGCGTGTGGAGACGCTAAGCCCGGTCCCTCGGGCCTGGGCCGTTCGTCTTCTGTATTTGTAGCTGTTTTCCTGACAGTCCTAATTTTCAGTTGGGGAAGGTATTATTTCCATCCTGGCTGTTTGGAAATGTGTGACAGTCCTGTCCCTGGTGACCGTGGAGAGTGACAGCATAGACAGGGGTAGCTTCCATTCCTCTTCGCCTCATGGCCTCAGTGTTGATAAATCAACCTGGACCTTTGGAAGTCGTAGAAATGCTGGGTATCAGCCCTGCCTGGTTTGCACTGGGGTGGGGGCAGCGGTGGTAATGGTGGGTCCTTATGAAATTAAATCATCGGGAACTCAAGCATCTCCTAAGAAAAGCAGAAATATAATCTGCCACCCAGACCTCTCAAGAGATTAGCTATCTTGGGTCATGGTAAAGCTGCTTATGTTGGAATGTGCAGGGTGATGCAGGGTGTCTGTTGGGTGTGTCTGTCTGTCTTGCTTTCCGACCCTACCCTGAACATTTCCTAGCTCCCATAGGCTACACTTGAGTCCAAGGATTGATAACTACTCAAAATCCTGAGCAGTGCCTAATAAGTTAAATATCCCTCTATCATCTATCTTTAGGTGTTAGTACCAAGCGTATTTATTTTAAACATATTGGTGGGGTGGATGATGTTAACTAGATTTTTTTCCACTTAGGAAACCTTGGTAAAAGTCAAGGAAGCCTCTTCAGTAGGTCACAAGGGTGAGGGGCTAAAGTTGGGAGAGCAGAGGTGGAAGATTATAGATCAAAATACTGTATTTTCACCTTAAAAATTAGAATGGTGAGCAAATACAGTGATTGCCATGGCGGTGGCGGCCGCTATCGTATTTTCATCAACTTCCTGGCCCGGTGCCTATGGGGGCAACGGAGTCACAGCCTGGTAGGGTTTTGCTCCCAGCGCCTCGGTGCGGTGGCGGAAGTGCAGTGTTACCCTGACTGCTTTTCCCACAGGATGAGGGAGTGGTGGGTCCAGGTGGGGCTGCTGGCTGTGCCCCTGCTGGCCGCGTACCTGCACATCCCACCCCCTCAGCTCTCTCCTGCTCTGCACTCGTGGAAGACCAATGGCAAGTTTTTTACCTACAAGGGACTGCGCATCTTCTATCAAGGTACGAACTATTGGACTATTGTGGGTGGGGTCATGTCCCAGCCGAGCTACTTCGTGCCCCTTGAGCTCTGTTGCCCCCCTCCACTCCCTTAGCGACAGAAGGAGCACCATTTTCTGTGTACTGTACTTGAAGAAATAGTCTAGTTCCCCTCGTTCACTCCAGAGCAGGGAGACTCAGAAAGCGGCTGACACAGCAAGGGAGAATTGAGATTTCATTCTATACACCTGGCTCCAGACACATTTTTTTTCCAATCTGATTTATATCAGATATTAGTGTGCTTTTCCGTGCCCCTAGTGTCAGGTAATATTCAGCAGTGTAGCTACTATTGTATCACCGCTCCCATTCCTGATTTCATTTTATCCAGTGTTCTCTATAAAGATAATTTTGTGTACCTAAATGTGATTTAAGTCTAACACTGCCACATAAATTAATTTGCTAATGATTATTATGACTGCTGTTTATCAAGTAATTACCACATGCAGGCATTGAGTTACATTTTCAACATTCACTGTTCCATTTAATATTTGCAATAGCACTGGAAGGCAGGTGCCATTAATCTCATTTTATAGGTGAAGAAACTAAGAAAAAGACTGGAAAAGATTTCTTTTGGGCGGGGGTCAAGAGCAATAACGAAAAATGTTTGTCATAAACCGTTTTTCATTATTGCTCCTGACCTCCTCTCATTGCTATGTTCAATTAAGTAAGTATATATTTTTCTTTATGTTGGGTTGACTGATTTCCAATATTTAGTATTTCACTGATTATTTGTATAGATTTCTTAAGAATAAGACTTCCTGCTTTAAGACCAGCCTGAACAGAAAACTTCACTAGTCTCCCATTTCCAAAATAAAAAAAAAAAAAAAAGCAAGGCTGGGTGTAAGTGGCTCAAGTGGTAGAGTGTGAACCCAGCAACTTGCGCCCCAGAGTCCAAACTTCAGTACTAAAAAGAAGGGGGAGGCTTCTGGGTTAAAGTACGTAAACAGTTTTCATTGCTTTTAAATAAATCATTTTCTGAAAACTTTTCTATCATTTTTTCATGTCTCTGAAAATTTGTATTAGCCTTATTAGTGGCAATGCATTTTGCTGCCTGTTATGGCTAATTTAAAAGATGTTTAATGCTTCCATATTATCATACGCATTCAAACATTGTCAACAATGTTCACACTGATTGATTAGTCCTTTTTGTAGCTTACAGAATTTTTAGTTTGATTTTTGTTATAGTTTGATTCTGGATTGGGTCTCTGATGATATAAAAAGTGCTGTTGTCCAACGGCATAAACTAAGATGCCTGCTGGAAAGAAGCTGCTAAGGACTTTATGATTCTTTAATGATAAGGTACAAAGAATTCTTAGTAAAAAGGTAATTCACACTTTCATATTAATGATGCAAAACAAAGAGAAAAATGGGATATAGTTTTAAAAAATGTAGATATCTTTTTAAAAGAGTTGGCTTCAAATATGTTCACATAGTATGCTATTTACAATTTTTAATACATAGATTAAAATTAAGTTCTCATTCTTACCTAAAGCAATAAGCTTGCATTTTAAATAGCAATGCATCATTTGAACATCACTTATCTGGTCACAGTTTTTCCTCCTTTGTACTAGATTACTTGGAGTTTTAATATGCTTAAGCTTATTTTTATAGGGAGCAGACCTAACTCATCTCTCTCCTTTCTAGACTCCGTGGGTGTGGTTGGAAGTCCTGAGATAGTTGTGCTTTTACATGGCTTTCCAACATCCAGCTACGATTGGTACAAGGTAATGAAATCAGATTTCTAAGTCCTACTATATCTTAATCCAAAAATGAAGGATTTTCTTGACAGTACTGGAAAATCCTTTTGAGTTGCTTAGTAAAATAACATTAAATATCAAACTTTCTTATTTACTATGAGTAAAAAATTCTTTGGCAGTCTGCAAAGAATCATTGCAAGTTAAAAATGTTGGAGTTCCGCCCACAATAGAGATTAATTGCTAGGAATCAAACATTTTCCAAAGGATGGTCCTTGGGGTCTGTGGTGGTTCTATGAGGCTTTTGCTTTATCGCAGCCTGTCAAGCCCAGAAAGGGACAAAGCTTCTGGGCTGCTGTGGGTTGGGAGGTTGCAGACTCAAAGTTCATGCCATTCTTCCTTTCTTCTAGATATGGGAAGGTCTGACCCTCAGGTTTCATCGAGTGATTGCACTTGATTTCTTAGGCTTTGGCTTCAGTGACAAACCGGTAAGCAGCAGCTAGATGGGTCTAATGTGGGTGGGCTAGATGCAGATGGAGGGAGAGGCCAGCACAGAGGTTTGACTGAAGATTCTATGCTGTCCCTTGCCTTTGCTTTTCTTAGAGACCACATCACTACTCCATCTTTGAGCAGGCCAGCATTGTTGAGGCACTTTTGCGGCATCTGGGGCTCCAGAACCGCAGGATCAACCTGTTGTCTCATGATTATGGAGATATTGTTGCTCAGGAGCTGCTGTACAGGTCAGTGACAGTATACGTCCTCAACTTCCCCCCCCAGGAAAGTATATTCAACCACTGCATGGGTGCTCAGCTACATGTATGTTTCTCCATCCCCTGCTCCAGGTACAAGCAGAATCGATCTGGCCGACTTACCATAAAGAGTCTCTGTCTGTCCAATGGAGGTAATTGTCTTGGTGGTAGAAGGGCATAGCCTCAAAAGGCCACCTTTAAATGTCACAGAAACTACTACGTGATAATTTGATATTAACCACACAATTAAACTAGAGGATCTTTTACCATTATTGTGCTGTGAACTGCTTTGATGATAGGATATTTATGGACTTTTTTCTCAGAATGCTTTTCACATATAGAAGACAAAGTAACAGGGTTACCAAGGAAAGTGTTTCTGTTGACATTGTTCATAAGAAGCTGCAGTGCAGTAACATGTAATGCTTCCATATCACATTAGATAGTGTGAGCTAATGATGGGTCTACTGACATTCTTGATTAGGAGCAAGTGATGTAAATGCTATTTTGCTGTATCTATAACAATGCAGTGGTTGTGAAATAGACTTGAGGAGTCAGTCATAGCTGCCTCTGTAGTGTTAGCATTAGTTCTTAAAGTCTTCAGAGATGGCAATGTAAATTGTAAAACTTAGTGAGTCTCTCCCCAACCCTCTCCCATCAGGCCTTTTGGAGATGTTTCTTCTTTTCTCTTTGTGCGCCAGTGAGCACAGCTTGTAAATCCATGAATATCTAGATGTCCTCACCTAATGCTTTAGGGCAGTTAAGGGCTTTAAGGGCAACTTGGAAGAAGTCTCTCACTTTATCAGCAATGCTCACCACTTTCTTCCAAATGAGCCTGCAAAAGGGAAAAGTAGTTTTTCTTTGCTTAGGACCTACACTTATTGAAAACCTTGTGTGGGGATGTGTGCGCACACACACATAGATCATTAACAACAGTGTGTTCTAAGCAATAGGAGGTAATGCCAAGTAGTTAGCAGTTCTATGGAGAAGCATATAAATTATTTCTTACATTGCTGTACTTTTAAAATGGGAAATGTAGCTCCAGTGTATTATTTGATTGGTTAGCACAGAATTTCTTAGAGATATAATCATTCCTTAACAAGGAGCGTACACATACATAAGTCTGTTGTTTCTGAAAGTTGTTAGGTAGTTTGTGACTGCTTGTTTGTAATCTGCTTTGGTAGGAAAGGCCCTAAAGGAGACTGAATAAGGTGAAAAGTTCATGATAACGGGCATGTGTTGGACTTAAAACTATTGACATATAACTAAGAGAAGTTTCTCCTTCTGCAGGTATCTTTCCTGAGACTCATCGGCCTCTTCTTCTTCAAAAGGTTGGCAACTTCACTGAGTTGCTCTGTAACGCTAAGATTTGTGCTGATCTTTATGGGTCATATCTGCTGTGGTGCTATAGTTAGTTAAAATTTTCCTTCTTATAAATTCCCATTACAGAAGTTTTCTCTTCTTGTGGAAATAAAGTAGTAGAAGGGTTCCTACATAAAACCAAACACTTCTTTCTGAAATAAAAGATGAGTTAACTATTTGAAGAAATACAACTATGGAAAAATTTGTGTCACAAGTATACTATTTTAATGAATTTCATACTAGGATATTTTAACTCTAAAGTTGAATAGGAGTTAAAAGTCTTAGGTACAAATAGCCAGACACAGTGGTATGCATCTGTAGTCCTATTTACTTAAGCTAAGCATGGTAAAAAGATGGCTTGAGCCAAGAAGTTTGGGTCCAGCCTGGGCAATATAGACCCTATTTCATTAAAAAATTAGTATTAAGTATTGAGTGAAGCAAAATATGTAATATTACATGGAATTAGAAATCGATTTGTCTACCAAGACAGAAGAATACAAGTAAGCAAAGTAACAACAAAAAGAAAAAGTAAGAGATTTGGCCAAATTCCTTTTGGAGTCTCTAGTATAAAACCTTTTGTCTTGGTGAGTTGTCATCTTTCTCTGGATATCCTGATTTAGCCTTTCACTTATTACCTACAGCTACTCAAAGATGGAGGCATACTGTCACCCATCCTTACGCGGCTGATGAACTTCTTTGTGTTCTCTCGAGGGTAAGACATCCAAGATGAACTGTGGCCTGGGAGTGGTGTAGGGAAAAGTTGCTGCTCTTACAAGTCTGAGCCAAAGCTTGGGCTTTAATATTCTTAAGCAAAGGTGTTGGCCCCTTACCAGAATAGAAGGAATGGGTCAGACTGCATGACCTCTGAGGTTGCAGCCATGTTTAGCTGATTTTAGTTCTGATTTTTCCCCACACTCATCTTCCTACATTTTGCACTCTTTTCAGTCTCACCCCTGTCTTCGGACCATACACTCGACCCTCTGAGAGTGAGCTGTGGGACATGTGGGCTGGAATCCGCAACAACGATGGGAACCTGGTCATCGACAGGTAGGAACTAAGCCTTCGCTTTGGGTTCTTTTGGAGAGTGGGAAAGGATGAAGAATTGCTTTTTGTTCCTTACTGACACATTCCTGGTCACAAGAAGGCAAATTAGAAACTATGAAGCAGCAAACACAGAAAAAAGAAGTCAAGCATAGGGCTCACCCTGCTCCTAAGCCATTTGGTACAGAAAAGCTATAAATTTTGATGCTAATTCAGCTTGTAACCAACTGGCTGGCAAATCCTTCTTTAGACTTTTTAAGTGTTCTAATATGTTTTAATCAGAGTTGTGAAAGGAATCTAATATCTCAAGGTAGCAACTGGGAATCCCTAGGCCCTGGAATACTAGAAATAGTGACTAGAAATAGCCATAGCTACTTAAGATGAGGTCTTATCCTTTTACTAGCAAGCAGGATTAGTATAGCTTCTGGCACTTTATTTGATGGCTTTGCTGGGAATTGTATATATCAGGGGGCCATTCCTCCTTCCACCCTAATCCCACAAGTTCATGAAAGTGCCTTTCAAGAGGAAAAAACTAAAAAACATATCTCCCTATAAAAATTCTATTTTCCTTTCCAAAAAGTAAACACTATTTCTTCTTCTTTCTTTTTGTGGTAAGGGGTTTGAACTCAGGACCTCACTAGAGCAGTGCTCCATCCAAAACTTTTTGCTTTATTTTTTTCAAGTAAGGTCTTGGGTTTTTTGTATGGGGGCCTGTCTTGGATCCATGGGCCTCCTAAGAGGTAATAATTGAGTTTACAGAAATAACTATCCTGGAGATCCCAATCAAAACAATCAGAACACTTGAATTTTGACTGTACATTGCAGCATGAGGAATTTTCCTTGTTCTCTTTATGACCACATGAAGTTCAGAGATGAAACTTTGTGCTTATGAACTCCTTTTAGAACTTTTGAGGTGGATATCAATTTAGAGATCATGTAGCTCTGTCCTCTTATTTAAAAATGAGGAACTGAGGTCAGAAGATAATGTGCTACATCTTTGAGTCAAAGAGCTAGTCAATGGTAGAGCCAAAATTGGAAACTTAAACCATGGTTTTAATGACATGGATACTCCAAAATCAACTTCCGACTCTTCTATGATCTTATTTCCTGCCTAAAAGGCACTTAATACTTATGGTCATAGTAGGCATGATCACTGACTGTCCCATTCACATGGTAGGCTATTCCCAGGAAACCCAAATTGCCTCTGAATTAAGCTTCATGGGGCCTTTTGAATCTCACTACATAATAAAGGTTTCTTCTTCTTCTCTTGCTGACTTACCTGCCCTATAGTCTCTTGCAGTACATTAATCAGAGGAAAAAGTTTAGAAGACGCTGGGTGGGAGCACTTGCCTCTGTAACGATTCCCAGTGAGTATTTTTGTGTTTCTGTGTGAATATTTTTGTATTTCTTCTGGATAGAAAACTTAGGATGACAGGGTTAAAATAATCCCAACACCTATCACCTCCAGTGTTTACTTAGCAAATAAAAATACATTAGTTAAATCTAATTTTAGGTAAACAAGAAGTAAGTTTTTAGTACTTAAATGTGTGTTGTGCAATATCTGGGAAATACTTGTATCAACCTCCTCCCTCCTCAACAAAACCTACAGACTTTTTATCTGAAATTCAAATTTAACAGGTATCATCTATTTCACTGGCAACTCTACTCCTAGTATCTGGAATACCACTGACATGTTAGAGTGAAGAAGCATCTAAAGCATCAGGGCAACACTGCAAATGTTTAAAGTAGGACTTAATCTTTTTTTTTTTTGTCTAGGGCACAAAAAAGCTGGAGGGACCAAATGGCTGTATGTTGGAGAAAATGTGCCAAATGAACTGACTGGCTTGTTCCCAGCAGTTCTTCATAGCCTTCCTAACAAAAGAAGCTAGGTTTTCATATATCTTTTTTATGGAAGAGACTTAATTTTAGAGTTACAAAAGGAGAGTACATATGAGCTGTTATTAAGTCTTTCTTCTTCTTTTCCCTAGTTCATTTTATCTATGGGCCACTGGATCCTATAAATCCCTACCCAGAGTTTTTGGAGCTGTACAGGTGAGTACCCCTCAGAGATCTTTGTTCCTGACTGACAGGAATTACTATTGAGGGTTGCTGGCACTAGCTATTGTTTCTGACCACATTGTTTTTTGTCCAGGAAACATAAAGACAAGTTGGGAAATCTTTATTCTCTCACATAAATATAAAGATCAAGAGATTCAGTTATATATTCTCTTATACAGCCTGTTTTCACTGTCATGGCTATTTCACATTTCTAGGCGTAGAGATAAGAAAAAGTTATGTGAGTGAAAGTGGATATATCTTAAGGAATGTTTGTTTTAATCTGACTGCAAAGCTACCTCGCTGATCTAAATTGAACAGACTGCAAGGAGAGCTTGAGATCACCTCACTGGGGAACAGTGCCTTCTCATTGGTTGTTATTCTCTCTGGGCACTTATTCCAAAGGTGTCAGAGTATGAAATCTTGACTATGTCACAAAAGCCTGTTCCATACCACCAAATGTCCTAGCGGGCATAACGGGTAGTAAACACCTTGCTTAAAATTTTAACAGAATCACCTCAGAGCATCTCCTTCAATTAAGGGAGGTCCATTGTTACCTTTGTTTTGGCAGTGAGTTGCTTAGTGTTCCTCTAAGGAGTTGGAAGTCATTCTGTTTTGACCATTGTTGTTGAGATGTTTTATTTTCAAGATGTCTTGTTAGTCTGTATATTTAATTAGTAAGTTTATTGACCAAAGATACAATTCCATAGTGGAGAGAGAATAAGCTCTTTGTCAATTCTTTCCAATGTAGTACGTCTGCAAAGGCATTTACTGGGGCTTCCCACTGGCTTACATCCCCCCCATCCTCCAGCCTCAAGTTCACCAGTTCACCTACGTGCTGTTCTCTTCCACTAGGAAAACGCTGCCGCGGTCCACAGTGTCGATTCTGGATGACCACATTAGCCACTACCCACAGCTAGAGGATCCCATGGGCTTCTTGAATGCATATATGGGCTTCATCAACTCCTTCTGAGCTGGAAAGAGTAGCTTCCCCGTATTACCTCCCCCATTCCCTAACTTGTTGTATATTCCACTTAGGAAGAAATGCCCAAAAGAGGTCCTGGAAACCAAACACCATTCTCTTAACAAAAGTCCACTTTACTCACATTGCTGAGCAGAATATAGAAAAAGGCAGCAAAAGCTCCAACTAAGAGTGACAATAGTAGTCCACCTCAGTCCTCTGACATCTGATCAAGTGGACTTGCCTTTGTGTTATTAGGAAATTCTGGTCTGCATTACTTCTTACTGATGCAGGAAGATAGGCGTTAGACATCACTTTGCATAAAAGACTTTTAATACTCCTGTGGATTTTTCTGAAATAATTTAGATATGGGAATTTCTGTCTTGATCCCAAGTGAAATCCCACAGTAAAGAATGAGAAGGGATTGTTTACCTCTCCTAACATGGCTTTAAGAGCACATAGTTTTTTTTTTTTTAAGTTCTCTAAGTAACATTGCTTAAGTGAGTGTGAATCTGTTGTCTTAACTGTGGATTTAGTTTCATCAGCTATTTTAATTGTGGATGTTTTGTTAAAATAGATACTAGTCTAAATAATGTAGTACCATAATTATACTTTAAGACAATGATTTGCCTACACATGTATATGTTTTATAAGAATGCTAAACCAGCAGACCCTTCCCCTGCCAGAGTAGTAAACCTAATTAAGAGTGGTAACGTCTGAATAAATTGAACTAAATCCAAATTATTTACAGAATTTCCTAAAATCACAGGACATTAAGGACCAATTGCATCTGTGCCAGATATTTACCGCTACTAGCTGGAAAGCCAATAATAATGTGACTCCTCATACCTCAGTGCTTAGAAGCATGTCCCTCTGGAGTGAAAGGGGAGGGAAAGGGACTTGTTACAGAGCAGATTATTGTGCTGAACGTACACTGACTTGTGGTGATGTTTAGCTCCCTATTGTCTGTCCTAGAGAGGCTTCCTCACACAGCTTAGCAACTCCTACACCTTACAGATGGCAAAGTTCCTAGACACTTTCACAACAAATTTTGAAAGACCCTGAGCAAATGGTGCTGAACACTCTTTTTTAAGCCACAGTCTCATTGTCTTAGTAGAAAAAGAATTAAGTGATTAAATTCTTTTTTTTTTAATTTTAGAATTAGGAACTTCAAGTATAACAACTTTGAAACTGGAATAAGTGTTTATTTTCTATTAATAAAAATGAATTACGATAAAGTGGATTCTGGCTTCCCCTTCCCCATTACTCCTCTGGGATAAAATTTTCCAACATTGCCAGGGGCTTTCATACATTACATGAGAGAATATAATGAGGTTACTTTTAAACAACAGGAATATAGGCTGTTAACTGATTTTCAACATCACTCAAAGCTGGACTATCATACCAAAGCTGACCAAGCGAGACAAAGAGGAAGGAAATAAACACAAAACCCATGCACAAAGACATTTGTTTGATCTGCTGGCTCAGGGCCAAAACATTTAATTTGCTCCTCCAAAGTTATTAATCTTTGTTATTTTGGGAATTCATGCTATTACCCTAAAACAGGAGGGAAGTATACTGCAACTTTATCTTGCCCAGTAAGTACTTATCCAACAGAAGCCAAGATAACATCTACAGGTGTTCTCTCTTTGCTTCTGACCGTCACCTGCATAGTTACTCCATCTGCTAAGGCCAGCCTGGACCTGACCAATAAATCATAGCCACCTCTGTAAACACCTGAGAGAAAAAGTGAGGAAAACCACAGTAAGAACTCAAAGTAGGCTATGAATAATGAAATTTATCATGCTCTGCCCATGTCTCCTTTCTATTATTTTAGTGTTTAGAAATTTGTGAGAAATGAATCCTACATATAAATCTAACTTCAAACCAAAACAAAAAACCCATTCCTGTGAGAGCCAATACACAGCAGGTATTCAGTAGAGGTAGTATAATTAGTATCTGTGTGAGATATAAGTTAATGTTTTAGGCCAAATGTACATCCTAAAGGCATTGACTGGGCTTCAAATAGTAACTCACAGAATGAGATGATGGGACAACAGCTCTAAGAGCTGTATGGCTGCCCATACTGAGCCCTTCCTTTAAAATTTGCAGCAAAATTAAGGGAAATCTGATGGAAGTCTCTTACCTGCCAGATAGAGCGAATGGGAATTCTTGTTCTCAGGTACTTTATCTGACCTCTCACATGGCTGCATGCCCAGAAATGTGATGATGTTATTGACAGCTTCTGTGTTGAGAAAGTTTTTACAACAGTTATTAGGAAATTAAGTATAGGGATCTGCCTCTGCCCCTGCATGTTCTGGTGCTTTGAATGCACAGGGAAGCTACTCGCTAAGAAATAGTTGAATCAATTACATGATGAAGCCAGGAACTTGGCCTTTTGAGTAAATGGCTTCCAAAGTATTTAAAGGAAAAAGACTTCTGGAATACCACATGTCTATTAGGCTTTCCACCACTATGAGATAATTACACCTGCAAAAAAAAAATGTTCTCACCTTCAAGAGTCTTGGTAGAGCTCAGAGCAAAAGTCTCTTCTTTCTCAAAAGTATCTCCCACCTCTTCCCAGGCGGCTGCAAAGTTAGGCTTTAGTACCTTCTGTATGTGGTCAGACACAGTCACTTCAAGATCTTCCAGCTAATGGACAACAAGCAAGGGTCAGTCAGGGAAAGTCCTTTGAGAACAGAACAAAACCAGAAGGAACTAGTCATTTATTGTTCTGTGCTACATCTTGCAGGGACCTAGGTAAAACTCCTACCACAATTGTTTTAAGTTACATAGGCCTTAGCACAGAAAAGCAAGAAAAACAGAACATCTAGCAAAAGCCAAATTCATGATCAACATCTGCGGCCCTCAGGTGCACTATAGCCAACCGTCAATTTCTGGCCTCTAGTACCTTCTAAAATTTGCTTTTGCTAGCAGTTCTTTCCTGTCCATGATCTAGCTATATTATACCAAACTAAAACTTGGTGAAGCAAAACCAAAATAACTCACTTTAAAACTGAGCTTATGTATAATTTCATGAAAAATCATTTAATTACTTTTATATCCTAGTAATCCTTATAAGGGGGAAAAAGGCTTTCTCCCTTTAAGAAGTGGTACATTTCAAATCTCTTTGGCATGATGCAGCAATTCCATTACAGAGGAGGATTAGTCTTGGTCCTTCTTAGTTGTTATCCATTTGAGAAGAACAGAAACTCCTTAAGTTTGTATCAACTGTTCCTAGAAAATGCTCTCATGGCAGGAGTCACTTAATGTTGTAAAGATGTCAAAGTCTGCAGGGAAGACTCACCACATACTCATCGTCATATCCATCCTCATCTGGAACTCCAGTGTTAGGGTCACAGTCCCGAACTGTAAACTTCATGGTGCAACTAAAGGTGCCTGCAACTGGAGGAGAAAACGAAGGCAAACCCACATAAGTGGGTGACACAAGCATGATGTTTCCTAGGAAGCAGCAGCTGTGCTCAGCATCAGCAATGTGTTCCACATTTTCAGGTGAAATGTGTGTATGTTTTGTTTCTAGGGTAGTCATTTTTGAAGCAGCCTGCAAGTAGGTCAACTTGCAGTCTGGCAACTACGATGTTAAAAGTCTGTTCTGCATTGTGGATTAGAATGGTACAGAAAAGATGGCACGGACAAACAGTTTTTGCATTGCTGTGAAGAAAGTGTCATGGGAAATACTTTAGAGAGCTGTTTGCCATGCCTGTCAAAAGGGCTTGTATAATGAAAGATAACCACTATTGTAGGTCCTGAGAAACCAAAAAAGCCTTCAGATAGATGATCAAGTTGACACTGATCAAGTACATCAGAGTTTCAATATTGTCTTTAGATTGTGGCCTGACAACGGGTCCACAGATAACCAGAATGAACTTAAGTCAACTTTCAACCAAAGTGAATAGGTCAACAATGAAGGAGTCTAGTACTGATAGTCAGTGTCTTAAAAATGGCATGTCTCAGATGACCGGTGGAAGTAATAAATCGAGTTGGGACATTTTTAGAAAGCAGTCTTCATGAAAATAAGATTTTCCAAACTGCTTGAAGAACAAAATTTAGAGGTGAAGAAAAGGCATTTAGGATCTAACTTAGGTCTAGAAAAGTCTTATAAGTATAAGAAATATTAGAAATTATAGCGTTTAAAAAGTTATTTGGGGGGTAAATAAGGAGAAATAATAAACTCAAATATAGAGAACATATATGATAGCTTAGATATTAAGACATATCTTCTATGTCTTTAAGCATCAGTCTCCCATCCATCCATCCATCCATCCATCCATCCATCCATCCATCCATCCATCCATCCATCCATCCAAATTGTCACTACATGTAAAAATATAAGCTAATGTGCTGGATACTTAACAAAAACATGACTGAGATATGCTATCAGCCTCAAAGAGCTGATAATCTTAATAGTTAAGCATAGTGCAGTGCAGTGTGGTGTGGTATGGTGTGTGTTGTGTGTGTGTGTGTGTGTGAGTGTGTTTTACGTATCTGTAACACTATAACTAAATGGTATAAATTTCTCCCTTCCACTCCCTTGCCCTCCCCTCCATTCCTCCCTAGATTATGTCTCACTAGTACTTGTAGTAGCTCAGGCTTAGTTTCTCAAGTGCTGTGATTGTAAGATGTTCATACCACACCTGAACCCATAGGTTCTTTAATATAAATTTTAATAGAGTATTATTATGTAAAGTTGCAGGATTAACAGCCTGAAGAAATTATAAAAATATAGAAGGATGTAACAATTTAGCTTGAACACAGAAGATAGCAGAAGAGATGGTAAGCAGTGGAAGGTAATGAGAAAAAGGAAAGGGGCTAGAAAGTAAGTTGAGGATAAGTTATGCTGGAAAATAGGTGATAATGAGATTATGTTTAGGAATAAATTATAAAATACTTTTTATTTCATGATGGACTTTGAGTCCAAGATAAGCTGGAAAAGATAGTGCCTAACTTGACTACTGTTGGAAATCCTATTTAGCATGAATCTGAATTCAGAAAGCAGATGGATCTAGTAGTGTGCATTTAAAAAAGATATGGTAGTGATTTGACTTTATAGGACAGAGTATATCTATCAAGACTGCAGAATCTGTTTCAGTACTTGTAAGTGATAGATGGAAAGAGTGATTGGTTAAATGAAGATTATTTTTTTCTAGGAAAGGGGAAAGATGTAGTTAACACAAATCAAGTATAGGTCAGCTGAGGTAATTTTTTTTAAAAGGATGAAAAAGTCATGTAGGATTATGATAGGACAAAAGTGAGAATGAAGAGTCAAGATACATTCAGTTTGGTTCTAATTAAGCAAAAGGCTTTAATGCAGATGAAGAAGAGAACTAAAGAGAGACAAACTAATGGGAGACAATGGTAGATCACAGATTTGGGCACACTGGTTGAATATTGTGTGTAAGTAGAGAGGGTGCTTAAATAAGAAGCACAGGTTATAGAGAAACAGATTGAGGAAGTAAATAAATAAGATTGACATTAGTAGGGAAAATATTCTTGAACTCTCTGTGACAGTTTTCTTAAGTGGTTTGGTTGATAAAATGAGAGAGGTTACAGGGATTCTAAGGTAAGCTCAAATAAAAGCCACAGGTAGTCTTCTATCTGTGTGGCCGGAGAGGATACCTGACACTGGGTAACAGGAGAGGGAAAGAGGGTAGGAAAGAGGGACCTTTCCAGGGCAAGAGCACAATATTAAATTTACTGCCACATAGGAAGAAGAGCACTTCATGAATAGGCAAGATACATAATTAAGGGGAACAGGAAAGTATACCCTGAAGGCTACATTAAAATTGTCCTCAGAAGCTGTAAGAAATTGCTCAAGCCTGTAATCCTAGCTACCTAGGAGAAAATGAAGAGTTTGAGGCCAGCCTACCCAAAAAGTTCTCAAGATCCCATCTAAAACCCATTCTAACTACTTAGAGGAACACAAACAGATGTAGATTCAGATCAGCCTAGGCAGAGACATGGATTGAGACTGTATCTCAAAAAATAACCATGCAAAAAGGCTGGTGGAGAGACTCAAGAAGTAGAGTGCCCGACTAGCAATTAAGAGGTTCAAAGCCTACTACTCCAGAAATTCCAAAAATTCTCAGAAATGAGGTTTGTCTTGTAAGGACTAGCTGAAAATAGGAGTTAACTAATGAGATTAGTGGAAAAGAATGAATTTGAGAAAAGAGGGGTGATAGAAGCTAAGAAGGACAATGTTGTGCATATAATATGCAGCATGGTAAAACAACAATATAGCAAATGACAAGAGTTGAAATTTGGAAAGAAGTCAGGTTTTCACCATGGAGTAAAGATTGACAAAGTATTATGGAGAGGTTCCAGAAAGCATTGTTAGAATAATGAAAGGGTTTGCCAACAGGGAAAAAGAGTTAAAAAGAGGATAAAAGGGATGGACTTTAAAACAGGCTAACTGCAGCAATCCTCCTAGGTCTGTACTTAACTGAGAAGAAAAGATGCAGTATACTGTGCAGAAAATCATGGAGGATGAAAGCACATTGAGTAGTGAGGGCCCGAAACAAAGAGCAGGTAACCACCCAGCAAGCAGTGCTGAATCCATGGGAACGCTACACACATAGCAAGAGAGATATTGAAGACTAAGGTTTTTCTCTAGGACAAATATAAGGAGAAAAGGAGGAATAGTATAGACAGGCAACATTAAAGTTACCATGAGATCAAAAGGAGCCAGTCAACTAAAGGATAAGACTGAAAAGATAAAAACATTCCTGGAAGCAAAGGAAAGGAAATATATGGTAGAGAGCCAATAGAGAGTGGGTATGGAATAAAGATAATGAACAGAGTCCTGTCAGAGGTCACTCTAGGTCTAATTGGGCATAAAGGTCATGGGAATAAATAGAAAGGATGAGGAAGGACTTGAGTAGTAGGTCAAAGCAGACCACCTCTTGAAGCTTTGGAGGGAAAAAAATTAAAGAATCTGATCTTTATGTACTACCCAGTAGCGTAGAACATAAAGAAGCTGATTAAGATGACTGATGAGTAAAAAAAAAAAGCTATTGCTGGCTGTGCACCTGTAATCCTAGCTACTCAAGAGGCTGGAACCTGAGGATCACAGTTTGAAGCCAGCCAATTAACCCAAATTAACCAATTAACCACCAAAAAGCCATAAATGGAGCTGTGGCTTAAAGTGGTAGAGTGCTAGCCTTGAGCCAAAAGCTCCAGGACATGATCTAGACCCTGAATTACAAGCTCAGGACCTCATGCATGCACGCATGCTTGTGGCATGCAGGCACACAGGTACACACACATATACACACTATTTTTGGTAACTTTACAGAGGTGTTAGGATTAATAATTAGAGGGAGTTAGCAAGTAGTTTGTCCAAAGAAGGGATTGATGCTACTAGATGGGCAATGAGTGATCATGAGAAAGTACATCTGAAAAGAAGAATCTAAATCTATATCTTCTTTAGAGAGATGGAAAGTGAAGGGTTGGCAGTTAAGATACTGTAGATTATTGAATAGTATTCCATTAAAGTTGCTCATAAAAGTTACCCTGCTTTGTGCAGACTGGCTAAAATGAGATACCTATCTTAGGGAGACTAGCATGAAAATATCACAGGAGAAAATGGAGGCTAGAAGCTAAAAAGGGAAGAGCTTAGTAAAATTTAGATGGGGGAGGGACAGGGAGAATACAAATGGTAGGGAAGGGCATTACAGAGGGCCAGAATGAACACTGGGAAGTTTCAGATTTGGATTGCAGTAGGAAGATGTGAGTTAAGCTAGATCACAACCAAAGAGGGGTATAGAAATGTGATGAAGAAGAAGAGGCAAATTATGATTTAATATTATGAAGGCATGGCATCAAGGAATCTTTCATTGCTATTTGAAGCAACAAATATAACAAACAGAGATCAAAGAGTTGACATGGCATGGATCTGAACCCTGGCCAATGGCAGGAATCCTACAAAGGTCAAAACTAAGGAAGTAAATATATTCATGTACTCAGAACAGTGTGAAGGAGACAGAAAATGAAAGAAATAACTACTGAATCCATGAAAGTGATATGAAGATGGATGCTGAAAAGAAACGTGTAGTTGGCTGGGCGCTGGTGGCTCACGCCTGTAATCCTAGCTACTCAGGAGGCTGAGATCTGAGGATCGCGGTTCAAAGCCAGCCCAGGCAGGAGAGACTGTGAGACTCCTATCTCCAATAAACCACCAGAAAACCGGAAGTGGCGCTGTAGCTCAAGTGGTAGAACACTTGCCTTGAGCTGAAGGAACAGTGCCCAGGCCCAGAGTTCAAGCCCCAGGACCGACCAAAAAAAAAGAAACATGTAGTTAACATAGGTGGTTCCATAGGATCAGCATATGAAAGGGTGAAGGAGCCTGCAGAAAAGAGAGGGTCATGGGAAGATGGACATGCTATTGT